AAGCCCACCTCAAGCAAACATTAATTTTTTCAGGAAAACTGAAACAGGTTTACAAAAAGCATGAAAGTAATCAGGGCATTAAAAACGGAGGCCAATGAAAAGGTATTGAAAAAACTGGACATGTTTAACCTTGAGAAGAGAAAGACACTGGGAGATACAATGGCAACTACCTAGAAAGAAGGTCAATGTTTGGCCTCTATCATTACAGACTGCCAGATGTGAAATAATAGATGTAACACTTCATGCTCCTAAAATAATTTACTGTTGTAATCAACTCATTTTCTTTATTGTTATAGACGGGTTGGTAAAGCGATTAGAAGAGCTGGAGAGGACTGCAGAACTATATAAAGGTAATCACACTTTTTTCTTTGTGGTCTGGAAATGTTATCTTACAGCTCATATCAATGATGATTTCTTGGAAGATCAATTGTTTTGAGTAAATATATTGTATACACGTGCAGGCTTTCAGCCCTTAATGATATACATGCAATGGCAGGTTAGACCTACTTGCATTTGGAACATTTGATGAGCAGATGTGGACTGTCTCTTTTTTACATCTACAAAGCTTTTTTCCACCCACTGCCATTTTAAGATACCACCCCCCCCTTATGCAAACACCCAGAATTAGGTAATTCCCCACTAGTGACTTACAGCATCTTCAAGAACATTCTAACTATTATTGTGCCAAATTAATAATAATTATGAGACTTTATATCATTTCAACAGTGGCTGATGATGCTATGAAGATATTGTAAGTCTCCCCCACTCCATTAACACACAAGAATCGAAAAACAATAAAACTTCCCTCTTAAAAGTTGATATTGCATTGTCTCCCCCTTCTGCTATCTTGCAAATTAGTACAATAACAGTTTATGAATTTGAGAGTGAATGTTTCTCAGCTTTTTAGAAGAAAACAAGCAGTAGTAGAAAAAAATAAATATCTGGGAGCTACACGTAGATCCTGAGATCAGGATCATATGTGACTGGTGGAATTGCCGATTTGTTGCTTATATTCTGTTTACCATACAACAGCATCTTGAAGCATTATTTTGCTTGATATATTGACAACATGGCTTATTATCAGTAAAATCTTCAACATGGCTTATTTTCAGTCTCATTGACAAGTTATTTGGTCTGTAGGTAGAGCTCCTTCCCTAGAGCCACAAGCAGATTTCTTTCATCAGAGGGCCATGGAAAGAGTTAATGCTTTTGTGTGGTTTATAACGAATATGTTAGTTGTGGTGAGCAAATTGTTCCCAGAAGCACAAAACAGAGCATGACCAGTGAAGAGCAAAGAATGACATTTGCATTCGGTCAGTGCAACTTTCTCCACTCAGTTACTTCTGCAGACAATCTCAGAATAAAAACATATCAGTGTTGACTTGTCCCCAACCATATTTTGATTTTGTTTTCTTTTACCAAACATCTGGTTTAGTGTTAAAATGTAGACTGAAAAGTAACAAAAGTTCTTAGATATTTAGTGAATGGCTAGATTTTAGTGATTTTTTTCCTTCCCCTTTGCCTAGGGATGACAGAACATACCAAGAGTCTTCTCAGAGCCTTCTTTGAACTGTCTCAGACTCACAGAGGTAAATGGATAGAGGATTTGCCAATTATGGCCATAACTCTTTAAAAATAACATAGCAGTTTGAATTGAAATGCTACTGTGTGCCCCACCTTATTTTTTCCCCCCCTTCTGTTCAGTCATGTCCAGTTCTTGGCGACTGCCTGGACAAATCCCTGAAGTTTTCTTGGCAAGGTTTTTCAGAAGTGGTTTTCCATTGCCTCCTTCCTAGAGTTGAGATAAATTGACTCGTTTTGTGCCTAAGGTGGGACTAGAACTCCCAGACTTGCAGTTTCTAGTCTGACTCCGCCAACCTGACTCTAATTTATTTTTTAGTTCATTGAAATTAAAATAAATATGCAACTAACGTGCTACAAAATAAAAAGCCAAGTAAGCATATAATATATTTCCAAGATTCTTCTGGGCCCTGCTAATGTCTGAGAAGTATTTATAAGAAAAATCTAATAAGAATCTGCAATTGTGTTTTGGAAGCACGCTTAGATACCTAGAAGAAAAACAGAAGAAAACTAAGGAAACAGAGAACCTTGTGGGGATCAATCTCAGGTTTATGATTGGTCATAACCATCATAGCACCAATTTTGTGAGAATGGCCATAATATTCTTTCCAAATTCCAGAGATGGTTCTCAAAATTTGGGCTAGAATATCTGTGGATTGCATGCAGAGCTGGTACCAAGGCAAATTACTGGAGAAATATCTTCAAGCTTACTGACTAGAATGAGATTTTAAGTGGGACAGCATAAAGTCTAAATCAGCTGTTTGCATTCTGGTGCCCTCCTGACATGCCAGGTTTCAGATTCCATAATCCTCATAGTATCAGTCATTGTCTGAAGTGGTGAAAAATTGAGTAATATATACTAGAAAATACATCTATGATTTTTGACTCCAGTTTCTATTGCATGTTTTTGCTGTATGATGACCAGCATTTGGTGATGTTTTTTCGGTTATTGGTGTACGGGAACCTCAGCCAGCAGCCAGTGAAGCATTTGTAAAATTTGCTGATGCTCATCGCAGTATTGAGAAGTTTGGAATCCATCTTTTAAAAACCATTAAACCAGTAAGAATGTGTGTTTTATCTTTATTATGCTCAAAACAATAATTCTTTATATAAAAACTGCACATAGAGAGTATATTTTTAGTAAAAACAATTAGTAACTATAATTGATAATTTAAATATCTATTTGTTGTTTTATAGTAATGGTTGTATGCTGCCTAGAATCACTTCATGTGAGATGATGGCCATACATATTTACTAAATAAAATAGATAAAATATCATTTTAATATCATAATCTAGGTAGTTAACACAACTCAGAGTTGAGAAGTTTTATATCACTACGTCTGAGGTACAAGTAGTATTTGACTTATGACTATAATTGGGACTAGAACTTCTGTTGCTAAGCAATGCAGTCATTAAAGGAACAGTGTCTGATTTTTTGCTATAGTTGTTAAGTGAATCCAGTTTCCTCCATTGACTTCACTTGTTGGAAGCCCCCTGGGAAGGTCGCAAGTGGTGATTATGTGATCTTGGGACACTGCAGTGTCTTAAATACATGCCAGTTGCCAAGCCCTCAAATTTTGATTATGTAGCCACAGGGACGCTGCAATAGTTGTAAACATGAGAATGGTTGTAAGTCCCGTGTTTCATCAGCATCATAACGTCAAACATTTATTATTAACCTAATGGTTTTAAGTTCGAGGACTACCTATATAGAATTCCAATGTCACACTGTCAATAGATGGGAACCTTTTCCTTCTGAATGGCTGTCAAGTCATGAGACAAAACAGTTGACTTACAACTATTAGACTATGATGGTGATAGAGTGATGACAGGGCCAAAATCAAACAGTAATCTCACATAGTGTTTGGCTCTTTTTGGTATCTTACATACATTCCCCACTCTCTTTCTCTCTGCTGTTCAATTCACACAACATAAGGTACAATGCTAAAAGTTTACTGTTTCTAGGGATGTAAAAGATGGAGGGATAAACGGTGCTTGATAAAAGGCATAAGAATGTGAGATGGTTTCATCTGACTACACCAGTGAGCTACAACTCTTTGCTTTATAGGGCCTCTTTGTTTATTAATCTGTGAGGCTTTCCACATGACCTGTTTATTCAGCTTCCTCTTCTTAATTCTTTGCAAGCTAGGCAAGAAATAAGGGCAAGGCACTTTATCATATCAAACTTGAGATAAAGTTCATTAGTCTGCCTTGCCTTGAATTGAAACAGGATAGCATATGGAGATGGCAGGGTAGAAATAATACTGTTTTGTATTGGAACAACACAGCACTGGTACTTAGAGCTAGCTCAGATTGGCTCCGAAATAAGATTGTCATCTAGTCCATATAACGAGAAAGTTAATCTATTATGTGCCAAATGGCTTACCTATTCTGAGAGTCAACAGAAATGTCCCCAAATCATATACTAGTTAATGTTGGATGATGAGCCTTCTCATATGCAAAAGCTTGTCTGTTTTATTTTGCTTTATCTTCATTTTTCACTCCCAGTATTTCCTTACAGATGTTGACTGACTTGAACACCTATCTGAACAAAGCAATTCCTGATACCAGGTTAACTATCAAGAAATATTTGGATGTCAAGTTTGAGTATTTGGTGAGCTGTTCTTTTTGTTTTAATTATTCCTTTAGAAAAAAACAAAAGGCTTAAAATGCACATTCTTTGAAAGAGAATTCCAATCTTTTTTATGCTTTGAATTTACACTCAAAAAATACTGATCAAACTTCTGCTTTTTATTTTTTTATGTGTGTATATATCTAACAATTCAGTATAACACTTAACTGCATTTAATGGAATGGACTGTGGAACATTTTATTTTTGTCTTTGTTATAACTGGTTGGTTATTCTGTAACCTTGTAACCTGTAACACTGTGCACTTTTTGTTCCCTTTCAGTCCTATTGTCTAAAGGTGAAAGAGATGGATGATGAAGAGTACAGCTGCATTGTAAGTACAGAGGTTCTAATTTCTACTGAAATCCCAGGTTTGTTCATAGACATACTCAAATACTTGCTTGTTTTCAAAGATTTAAATTTAGGGAAGTTTATTGTGTACATTCCATATTGAACCTTGCACTGTGTTGCCAAGTCTTATTAAATGAACCTTCTAGATCAGTGGTTCTCAACCTGTGGGTCAGGACCCCATTTGGAGTCGAACGACCATTTCACGGGGGTCGCCAAACAACGCAGTCCGCCATTTTTTTCCCCCTTTTCCTTAGCTGTGCTACTCCCTTTTATTCTATTGGCTTTTGAAAGCCAATAGAATAGACTCTCTTGAATAGAGTCTAATTCTATTGGCTTTCAAAAGCCAATAGGAATTGTCCAGGCTGTCTCTGCCCTGCTGAGCCCGCCAAAAGTCCCATTCTGCAAACGGTGCTGCACAAGTTGAGTAGTCCTCGACTTATGACCGGTTGAGCAGTCCTCGACTTACGACCGGTTGGGGGTCGCGGCATTAAAAAGGTTGAGAACCACTGTTCTAGATGCTTCTGTTTTTCCTAACTCTTAAGGTGCTTAAGAATTAAGTTTATACCTTATTTCAAATTTTCAAACTGGAATGTTTTATGTCAGCTATCATTTTCATCTGGCATGCTTTCAGGGTAGCCTTTTCATCTGATGCCTTCCAGAAACATTGCATCAGATTGGAATTTTGAGTGCAGTAACACAAGATTGATTCCCTTGCATTCCATGATCATAGATTGTTTAAGTATTAATGAGTTCTGAAGAGAGGCCAAATGTTTGATTGCCACTGCATAGAAGTGGGATAAATAATATCCTAGTGACTCAATATAGAGATTTATTTGGTGGCTTTTTTTTCCCATAATAATGACTATGATCTCTCAGCACATCATCCTCTTCCATCAGACTTAGATGGAAAGGCCAAATCATCTCATAAGCATCTGGTGTGCCGTTATTTTTATTTGAACAAAAGAAAAGCTTTCTAAAGTTGAAATTTTGAGGACCAAATTCATAGCAGACTTTTCTTTTTTTATTGAAAAAGTGTATGGTAATAAATTGAACAAAATTATAGTTAATGCAAATTACAGAGATCAAAGTTTAAAGATTAAAATTAAAGTTTCAAGCAAATGAACTATAGGGAATGTTGAATATCTGTCCCGTCTGTCCATATTGATTTGCATTAAAGCTTCTATAATTACGGGATAGATTCACCATTAATTTGGAATGGAAAAACTTGACAATCTTCCTGATTTGTTCCTTGATCTCATTTACCATGTGACGACCTTGTGATGAGTTTCTGTTTCCTTAAATGTTTGTTTACTTACCCTCAGGGTTCTAGGCGTCTGCTCCTTCAGTAAAAGTTGCTTTCATGTCTGTTGGCCAAGTAAAGATGTAGCACCATCATGTGAGGAGCTCACAGTTTGCTAGGATGCATGAAAGAAGCTTTAATACATATATGAGATGTTGCCCAGTCTACCCCATAGGTTGTTATAGTAACACAGTATTTTTGGTAGGCTATGGGAGAACCTCTCTACCGAGTTGGAACTGGGAACTATGAATATCGTTTAATCCTGCGCTGCCGCCAGGAGGCACGTTCACGTTTTGCCAAAATGAGGAAGGATGTGCTAGAAAAGATGGAGCTGCTAGACCAGAAACACGGTAAGTGTGATTGACTTTTCTTTAGATCCAAATGACCTCCCAGAAAGTTGAGTGACGTAGATCTGCAGATTAAAACTATCAAGAAAATCAATCAAGCTCCTTAGAAACAAGAATACTGGATGAAAAGAAAATATATTTGACTCCGAAAGAGCTGAAGTATCATCTTAGCCATTTGTAAAGCACACCTTAGGCTATAAGCTGAGAATAATGTATATTTTTCTTCCTCTTTGTTCAATAATTTCCCTCCTTTGCAGTGCAAGATATTGTATTCCAACTCCAGCGTTTTGTGTCCACGCTTTCAAAGTACTATGATGATTGTTATGCTGTGCTAAGGGATGCAGATGTTTTCCCAATTGAAGTGGACCTAGCACGTACCACATTGAGTTACGGCCAAAAGGATGTCTTCACGGATGGAGCAGAAGAGGAGGAGGAAGAGGAAGCTGGTGGAAGTAGAGAATGCCATAAAAAAGAGGAAGAAAATGGAGAGAAACTCATTGATGATGCCTGAATTTCTGAATCCTGTTAAAATCCCTTCAGAGACTGATAAATTCTATTTCTCTAGACCCCTTGTCCACAGTGACTCTTCTGTTTGTACAAATCCAACTAGAGAATCAAGATTCTGTGTTGAATAGGGGCATTTGGGTAATCTTGCAAAAGAAAAAAAAAATCTTTGTCCATTTGTGCTTTTCTCAAAATCTCACTTCCTCCAGAGCTGGTGGGATTGAAATTACTTTTAAGTAGCCTTCAAGCATCTCCCCAATATGGCTTCCTGCGCAGATGGACTGTGATTAAATATATAGCTTTCTTCTCTCTCTCTCTCTCTCTCTCTCTCTCTCTCTCTCTCTCTCTCTCTCTCTCTCTCTCTCTCTCTCTCTCTCTTTTCTGACATTTTTAATCTTGAATGACATTGCTGCTTCTCTGCATTGTCAAGACCTTTAAAAGGAGACATAAGATTATTGAAGTTAACAGAAAGTCACTACCATTAAACCTACACATTTCCCCCCCTTTTGAATGTTGCCTTTGTGGCGGAAAGACTATTATGTGCGTCCCCCTAGGGCCCCTTTCCTTCTCATTAATCATCAATTCGGCAGCCTTAGAAATGAGAATAAATAAACTGTCAAAGAAAATGGGGAGAATTACTAATATTTCTCTCTTATATTTTGTTAAATAAGTACAATATTCAGATCTGATTTAAAAACAAAATTACAAAAATAAGCCAGAAATAAAATCAAAAAAGAACAAAATTGTCTACAATAACATGCCAATGGGGATAATCTATCAGAAATCATTGATAGAATATTTTGCAGGTAATCCTTGAGTTACAGTTCACTTAGTGACCATTCAAAGTTACGACATAACCCTCCCCAAGTACTTATGACACAGTCCCAAAGTTACAAATGTTGCAGCACCGCAGCGGTTATTCACCCTTATGAACGACCACAGAGGCACTGCAACATTCGCCCTGCCTATTCCCCTCCCCCCGCTGGGTCTCCACAAGCGCTGGGCCTCTGGATACTCGTCTTGCAAAGATCTAGCGAGCCTTCGGTTTCTTGGCCTGTTTCGGTGTTTCAGGCCTTCAGTGCATTCACAGAGAATGGAGGCCTAAAGTAACACAAGATCACGTGAGATCAGCCTGACATCTCATGCTACTGATCTTGCATGATCTCCACAGTACTTTAGGTCTCTGTTCTCTGCAAAAGGAGGCCTGGATAAGATATGTGGCAAAAGGCTTTGCAAATGGAGGGAAGACCTGAAGCACCGAAACCTTCCCTCCATTTGCAAAGTCTTTTGCCATCTTTGCCACTGAGAACAGAGGCTGGGAGGCACGTGTGTCCCTGTAGGCCTTGGTAAGCCTTTGCTCAATATGAAACCGTGGCAGAGAGGCTGTAGAGGAGACTGCTCCCTTGATCAAGATCTATGTAAGGTAAGTGACTTGGTCAGGCAGGATGGGGAGAAAGGGGAAGCCTGAGATAACTTAGTGGGTTGGGGGAGGCCTTGGGTGGTCAGAAGCACCAGGCCCCCCATAGCCTTCCCCATCCTGAGATAGCTTGTGCACTTAATGAACCGCATATTTCGATCAGCAAATGCATGGGCAAAAGCAGGAAGTGATCATGTTCAAGTTACGTGATTCACTCCTACGAATCCTCAGGTTATGAATGTAATTAGCAAGTCCATTACATTTGTAAACTTGAGGATTACCTGTGCATGATGGTTAGCAATGTGCAAATTTGACTCTGCCACTAATACTCTGAGAAAAAAAAATCTCCCCATCCTATATTACAGTTTCCATAGGCTGCCACTCTCCGGTTGCAAGTCCCATCCCCCATATAGTAACAAAGTTGAATGCTGCTCAAAATTTTGTTGAGTTTTCTAATAAAATAGTCTAATTATAAAGCATTGCCTCTGAGAAGAAAGGGCCTTTTGTGCCTTCTTAAAATGGTGCAATTTGTGCCAAGAAGAAAAACTATAGTTTTTGCTTCCTGTCCCCCCCCCTCTCTCTCTCTCACACACACACACACACACACACCAAAAGAAAGCCAAGCTAGGGTCAGAATGATCCTAGTGAGACTGTACAGGTCAAACTAATGACCTGTCTTAGGGGTGACATGATAGCCGTCTTCCAATACTTGAAGGGTTCTCACAGGGAAGAGGGCTCCAAATCACCTGAGGGCTGGACAAGAAACTGTGCAGAAGCCACTCAGAATGAGATCCAACCTAAAGAGAAATTTCCTGAGATTGAGAACAATCAGCTTGCCTCCTGGATTTGTGGGGGCTCCATCACTGGAGGTGTTCAAGAAAAGATTGGACAACCATTTGTCAGGAATGGAATAAGAACTCCTGCCTTTTCCAGGGGGTTGGATTATGAGAGCTCAAGGCCCTAGCCCCCATAATTCTATTTCTGTTTCGATTCGATTCTAGCCTACCCTACCTTACCCTACCTTATTCTCTAATAAGAATGTGAAGCATCTATTCTTTTTCCTTCTGACTTAAGCTTTAGGTTTGTGTCTCCTTAATCCTACTGTTTGCACCATAGTAAAAAAATTGAATAATGGAAGAATCAAATTCCTTCCAGATTGCAGGAGTAATTTGGTTCCCAAAAGGAAATGTTCCCAAACTAAAAATCAAACCCACAAAACAAATACAGGTGGACTTTCCTATACCATCTTGATCAGCAAATCCTCAAATGTGCTAGAAATGCGAAAATAAGTTCTATTGATAGGTACCTGTCAGGTGTAAACAACCAGACCCACACTTTTAGAGTTCAAACAAGCTACTTCATTGTTCTACGTCTATTCCAGAGGAATGCCCCAGCTGGTAGCTTTGGCCTGGGAAAGACCAGATAAGGCCCAAAGGCATTCAGGAGGAGTCAGACACTGCTCTCTATTGTTGATGTAATGATTCCAGACTAATTTCCTGCTTGACCCCTTCTCCTGACTGAGACAGTTGCTCTCCATCAATACCCCATTAAATGTTTCAATGTTGGATAAGGCTATAGGTAGCTATGGTGTCATATCCTGAATCTGACTGATCAAAAAGCTATTATAGGAACTTTCCCAACTGAATTTCTCTCTTGGATTCACATCAAATGTGGCATTTGTAAATTCAGTGCAGTTCTATGCCTACAAATCAGGCTGTCTGCTTTCTGTGCAAAATTATTACAGAAAAAAAACTGGCCATCAGAGCAGATAAATAGGTTTCTGTGCCTATTGCCTTGCTTAAAGGGGAAAGTTGCTCTCTGGAATTCGTGTGCAGCCTAAAGTACTCCTAATCTGTTGAACTACAGCTCCTAGCCTTCTCCAACCACATTGGCGTTATTGTAATCTGAAGGACACCAAATTGTGGAAGCTTAACACTGACTATTCAGAATATATGGAAATAACAGTTCAATTTAGATTATTGTTATGGGTAGTCATAAAATCATGTGGGAACTTCTTGAACTCATAACTTTCTGTTTGACTAGAACAATATTACTGGCTTAAAATATTCAGTGCTCTGCCATCTTACCTCTTCATTTCCTTTCTGTCTTTTAACATTTTCCCTTTAACATTTCCCCTCTTATCACCTCCCAGGAGGGGGAGACAACTGCCAAACAACCTGTCTCAGCCTCCCTCCCCCTCCCCCACAGCATTGTTTGAACTAAAATCCTACATTGATCTTGTGGCCCTGTGCAATGAACTGAGCAACAGATCACAAAAGCTTATGCCTTTTAATGAAATGTGTTAATTGGAAAAGCTGCTCTCAGACTATCCTTGATTTTGTTTTGTAAATCAAACCAAAAGAGCTGACCTACAATGTCTGCAATAATTTAAAAGCATCTATAAATCCAAACTATATAAAAAAATAAACCTTAAAAAAATCTGTTGCCTTCCAAATTCACATCTTGACAGCCCTAGAAATCTCAGTCTAGCCAATCCATGGCCCTTAGTCTAAGGCGGCTCAGACTGTTTCTGTGTGTGTGTGTGTGTGTGTGTGTGTGTGTGTGTGTGTGTGATTGTACACACACATAACATACACAATATATGAACAACACATGAATCAAATAAGATTTATTTTTTAAAAAATGAATCATCCTAGTTGTGTATAGACTTTTAAAGATTCCAAGACTTAATTTTTCCAGCCAAATGCAAGCAAAACTTACAAAACTGGGTCTGTTGATAATACGGCATGTTTTTACTTTTAGTCACATATTTGTCACAAATGCTTACAGTTTTACAACTCTGAAAATATATTAGGCAAACAAGTCCTGTGATCTCTGTTTTGAACAATAAATATGAGTATTTACTTTGCTTTAAACTTCTGTGCCCCCAAGTCCTGCAGCCTATTGCCAATGAAGATCTAGATGATGAAGATAGTTTCTTAGCTTCTAGTAGCAAATTGTTCCCACAAAGGATAGTCACTTGCAGTTTATGCTTGAATCATAGCATAAATTATCTGATATATTTGCAATGGGCTTAGAAAAATTCTAATTTCTGTAGCACCATTATGCTAGCTCCTATTTAAGGCATAGCTAAAATTGTTTCTAATTTCCTGTCATGTTTATCGAACAAGCTTATTCTGAAATTTACAGAATCTGGCCAACACATCTGTCATCTAATACTAATTTAAAAGGGATAAAAGGTTCTAGTTTTGACCAACAGAAATGCAATCATCTACTTACTATCAGTAATGAGAATATGATATTTGGCCACACTTTTAAAATGCCTGCTTGCCAGTTTGTAATATTCCTTCTTCAATCCTAGCTACAAGGCTTCTTCTGTTCTACATCTTTGATATTATATAGGTTTAGTTTTGCTGAACACCAGGTCTGTAGAGGTAGATTGATAAAGAAGTTGTATTGAATTAGCAGCCAACTGATCACTAAGACTAATGTAGGTGTAAGGTAATGTAAGTGCTGATAAGTGTAAACCCATATAATATTGAAGAGAATTATACAATTCTTTATTCATGGGAGAGGTATACTATGTTTGGATTCCATTACTTTGCTTATAGTACCATTCTGACTGTGTGTATTCAAGAAAAAAATAAAAAGTTCCTAAGGATTCTCTTCCTGCCCTCATACCATTCCAGAATTTATACTTTCCATATCGTCCTCTTAAGTAAATCAGATCCCATGTGCTGATGTCACTGTATCTTTGGATCTTTTGGGTTTGTTTTTGGATCTCTGTGTTGCTAAAGCTCTTTTTTTCCTACCTGATCAATACTGCAGCCATCTGGAACCAGAGCTATATTCTCCTCTTTAGGCTGTCCACCATTCTTGTATATTGCAATATGATTTGTTCTGTCACTTCCAACACTGTCAGTGCTGTGGGCCAGATGCTGATCATTGTCAAGGCTATCCTTTGCTTCCTGTAGATCTGCTTCGGCTTCTTCCATTTCACTGTTACTTCTAACTGTAGAAGGATTGTCTAGCTGAGGAGTAGTTTCTTTTTTCATGTTCAGGCAGCAATATGAAGCAACAGCCAGGAAGACAGCAGACAACACAACTTCTGATCCAGCCAAATAGAATATAATTTCATATTTCTTGAATGAATCCACCAGTCGCCCTGCGATTTTGAAACAAAGCATAGCATAGTTGCATTGTAATCTGTTCCAACAGTTTCATGTGGATGTCATATAAGGTGCTTAAACTTGCAGCTTGTAAGTTTGCAGTTTTATAAATGTAGAACTTCCATATGGCCTGCAGTTAGTATGAATTCCAAACATGCACATAAACACATTTTTATACATCCCTCCTTTCAGTCACAGAATTACTGACAGGGCTCCACTGGAATCACTATAGAAGAGATAAAAATAGCATTTCTGTAATGTGGAGATTTATTTATTTATTTGTATCCTACCTTTATTATTTTTACAAATAATTCAAGGCAGCGAACATATCTAACACACTTTCCTCCTCCTGCTTTCTCTACAACAACAATTCTGTGAGGTGGATTGGACTGAGAGAGAATGACTAACCCAGCTAACTTGCATGGCTAAGGGAGAACTTGAACTTATAGCCTCTGCTTTTTAGCTTGGTGCCTTAAACACCAGACCCGTGGTGGCGAACCTATGGCATGTGTGCCACAGGTGGCATGCAGAGCCCTCTCTTTGGGCACACGCGCCATTGCCCCAGTCCTAGGCCTTCAGCTGGGTTTTATAAAACCTTTTCGCTTTAGGCCTCTGCCACTGTGTGCCAAAAAAAAAAGGTTAATTAATCAATCAATTTCAACTTCTCATGGGAAAATAAAAGATCTCGCAAAGTTGGAATTGATTGAACTTTTTAGTCCCACCCAGTCTGCCGTTACCACTGCAGCCATGGCCACCCAATTGGCCATGCCCACCCGGCCCGATGATACATGTGGGTTTTGGGTTGCAGTTTGGGCACTCGGTCTCTAAAAGGTTTGCCATCACTGCACTAGACCAAACAGGCTCTCCCATTAAATCCTGTATGGGGCTTTCAAAATGATGTTGACCTCAGGTATCCATGGGCATTAACCTGACCTAATGAGAGTTATGTGTGTCCCTAGAGTGGCACATGCCATACCTTTGCTCTGCAAACTGCATTGGTTGCCAGTTTGTTTCCAGGTCCAATTGAAGATGTTGGCTTTGACTTTCACATTATTTGAGGACCACCACCCACTGACATCTGCCCATCCCATTAGGTCTGGCAGAAGAGGTACGCTACAGATGAGATGGCTGCATTATTTTTAACATCAATTCTCTCCACTATCTTGTTAATAATAATATTGCTAATGTTTTTAATTGTAGTTTTTAAATTTGAATTATATGGCTGATTTTACTGTAAATCGTCTTTACTGTGAGATGGGTAGCTATATAAATGAGAAACAAAACAAATACATAGGACTAAGCCTTGATATGCCCTATTCAAAGGAAACTCTACAAAAGAAAGGTGGTTAGACTTACCTGCTGAGGGTGGTCCAATGAGCACAGCAACGGCCTCAATGAGCAAGTTAAGCCCAATTGCGCTAGAGAATTTCTGTGATCCAACAATAGTCATGAGAACTTCAAACTGCAGAGCTCCCACCATTCCATAGGAAATACCAAAGAAAATGCAGAAGATGACCAGGGATGTGTAGGTGTTGGCTCTGGCACTAAAGATATCCGTCAGGCCATTGAAGAGCATTGCAAAACTGAACAAGTAGGTTATATGCGGTCGTATCCTCTTCATCCCAGCAAACATTCCACAGGATGGACGGGCAAAAATATCTATGAAGCCAATGATGGACAAAAGAAATGCTGCCTCTTTGTCAGGTATTCCTGTGTCTTTGGCATAGTTGACTAATAGAATTGTGGGCACAAAGAGGCCTAAAACCATGATGAATTTGGCGATGGTGTAAATGATAAAACCCCGGATTTTGAAGATAGAAAAATTTAATAAGCTTTTCGTTTTCTTGGCCTTTTTCTTCTTCAATTTCTTGGGTTTCTTAAAATTGTCCAGGGTGCCATCTACCTCTTCTGCTCTTCCTCCCATTGGCAACATCTCTTTAGTTTCACAGGTGTCCGTGACTTTCTCCCTTGTCTTCTTAATGTCAATTGCCAAGGGTCTCATGAGTGCTCCACATGTGCAGCAGTTCAGGAGGAGCCCCCCCATGATGAGGAATCCCCCTCGCCAGCCAAACTTTTCCAGCAAGACTTGACCCAGTGGAGAAAGCGCTGAAAGGAAGACTGGGCTTCCAGCTGCAGCTAGCCCATTGGCTAGTGGCCTGCGCTTGTCGAAATAGGATCCTAACATAATCAAAGAAGGCTGGAAATTCAGAGCCATTCCTAAACCTGAAAAAAATTGCAAGAGGAGCAATTGATGCAAAGACATCAACTCTCAACAAATTCAGGGTTCCTATATTTGAAGGAAAGGTCCCCCCCCCCAGGAAAATATGCTATTTAATCTAGCTTAATCAGTGCAAGTTGTCCTTTAACACAAGGACACAAAAAACCCCATGAGGTAGTCCTCAACTTGCAATCACAACTGAGCCCAAAATTTTTGCTGCTAAGCAAGACATTTGTTAAGTGAATTTTGCACCATTTTACACCTTTCTTGCCACAGTTGTTAAATGAACCACTGCAGTTGTTAAGTTAGTAGCCTGGTTGTTGAGTGAATCAGGCTTTGCCATTGACTTTGCTTGTCAGAAGGTTGCAAAAGGGGATCACATGATCTCGGGACACGGCAATCGTCGTAATTGTGAACCAGTTGCCAAGCATCTGAATTTTGGTCATGTGACATGGAGATGCTGCAATGATTGTGAGTGTGAAAAACAGTCATAAGTCATGTTTACCAATGGCATTGTAACTT